GCATCTAGTTGAAAACCTTTACAAGGTGCATACTTAAGATTCTTATGGACCTGTCTAGTCTGTAAGGGATAGACCTGTCATTAAGAGTTTTAGAATATATTCTAGATTTCCCCTTAATCTTTCTGAGACTTCAACAAACAATAATATAGCCACACCCTTGAGATCTTTACCTAGTATTCATACTTTCATAGCAGCATGCTGGAATTTGTTCTTTGCTCTGTGGCCATTTCTCATTTTGAGAATTTCCTGCTATATTAATGTATCAAGACTGATAATATGGTTTACTTTTTTGAAACTGGGCAGTCCTGAAACCTTTAATTTTCCCATGAATTCTGAGTGAAAATCAAATAACTTGGTTTTCAGTTCATCTCATTGGATTTTATAATGGTCAGCTAAAAGAAGTCTATTAAACTTTCAGTTGAAGTTTAGTATCGTGTGTCAATTAACTGAGCCATTTTGATTGTGTTTTTGATGATGTTTCTGGCTGAGATTATCCTTTGAGTTGGTGTATTGAGTAAATCATATTATATTTCATAATGTGTAAAGGCCTCATCTAATCAATTAGAGTCCCAAATAGACAAAAAAGTGAGTGTATCAGTCAAGGTCTACAAAAATAGAGAACCAATAGAATAAACATATACAGACATATATGAAAAGGAAATTTTTAGGGTAGTTGGTTCACAACATTATGAAGACTGAAAAATTTTGTCACCCAAAATTAGTCACCACAATGATTAATAGAGAACTGTGGCTGACTGTATGAGCTACTTGTTTTCTTTACTCAAACTGGAACTTACAGCATTGATTCTCCAGGTTTTCAGATCCTCAGAATTSGTCTAGAACTACACCATTTACTATTGGGTCTCCAGCCTGCCAGTTGCAGATGTTGGGATTTTTTAGCCTCCATAATTATGTGAGTCAGTTTTTACACCAGATGAATGGTAGAYACATGATGCATCGATAAGTAAGTAGGTAGATAATATGTAGAGAGGGAGAAATGATGATACATTATAGATGACAAAGAGAGATAAAGTCATATTAGCTCTGTTTCTCTGCAGTATTCTGACTGACAAAGTTATTTTCCTGATAATATCCTTAAAAAGACCCATTAGTTAATTAAAAACACTTTCTATCTTCTGTGTTACCATAAACAAGAATGTATGTTTCTTCTGACTGCGAAGCTAAAAATTAGAGTTAAATTCCTGCATAAATTAAGTAGAAATGTGCTCAGGCTGTCAAAGGAGGGCCAAGATCAACCCAAAGTATTTGAAAGTATTAGCTGGCACATACTGAGACATTACTATGGGATTGAATTTTGAGTATGTTTGATCTAGGGACTGGAACACTAAATTGGATAAACAAAAATTCATTTACTTGGGGACATGAAATTTGGATTTAGGAAAAGATGAAAAACATATAACATGCAAGGGTCCAAGTATCTTTTACATTCAATGTACTGAAGGGAAAAAATGGCAAACAAAAATACTTTGCCTAGCAAAGTTATTTTTTCCAAAATGAGAGGGAATAAAAACCTTACCATGCCCCCCCCCAAAAAAATGAAGGGACTTCATCACCATTAGCCCAGCCTACAGAAATTACTAAATGAAATTCTTTAAGTTGAAACAAAATGTCATTAACTTATAGCATAAAAATTAGAAAAGCACAAAGCTCAATAGCATAAGTTAGAACATTCCAAGGCTATAACAGTACGGTATTCAAGAATTTTGTCCCTAATAAAGAGTGTGAAACTAAACTATTAACAAAGGAATACATTTTTTTAGTTGCAGTTGGACACAATACTCTATTTTATTTAGTTATTTTTTTATGTGATGCTGAGGATGGAACCCAGAGCCTCACACATGCTAGGTGAGCACTCTACAGTTGAGCCACAACTCCATCCCCAGGAATACATATTTTGAAATGATGTAATTCTGATCTCAAAACATAAAATGGGAATATAAAAGTTTAGAATTGTTGATGCTTGAAATACACTTGAAATACACTTTTATAATTGTAAGATGTTCTGCATAAGCCTAATGGTAACTGCAAGACCAATACCTACAGTTGATGCACAAAACAAAAAGAGAAAAAATTCAAAGCATTCCACTACAGAAAACTATCAGACCACAAGTAAAAATAGCAAGAGATGAAAAAAGAAAAATTTGATCAGGTCAAGCTGTATGCATATATTGAAATATCACATGGTACCATAATGTGTATAATTATAAGATGTTGAAACAAATTAATAATAAAATAATAAGAACCACATCTAACCCTTCCAATATTAAGATAAGAAATAGTATAATGGAAGATTGGGCTCAATATGAGGAAGAACTCCACAATATGTTTACCTTTCAATTCCTAGAATATGAAGTCCAAAAATTATAGTAAAGTCTTAGAACTGAAGCATTCAAACAGAGAATGACAAACTACATAATTGGAAAAATGTATCTAAAATTTTGATACAATGTTGGTTGACCATGACTATCTTACAATTTCTTCTCATGTTGTGATTCTTTGAGTATATGGTAATATCTAAATTGGAAGCATGTGAAGGCCAAACAACCTCTGCTTTGTAGTTCTGCCCCAAATTGCCTTGAGTTACMTATTTATGTATTTACTTTCCAATGAACAAACTGAACAAAGGAGTTAACCTCCTGGTATTGGGTGTTTCTTAATCCAAAAAATAAACCACAATGCTTTGGTCTAATGGGCACAAATAAAATGAAATTCCAATTGAGTAGGTGTGATTATTTACTCAAATTTACAAAAAAAAATACTCCATGGGAAAAGATCACAGAATTGCAAATTTCAGTCCCAAGACAGTTACAATGGGTCTCAAATACCCAGAGCATTCAGGGACCTTTCTTATAGGGTCAAAGATATATATAGCTTGGCCTCCAGTGGCCAGAAAAAGAATTGAAACACCTTATTTTTCTATCTATGCACCAAATATTACTGGAAGGGAATGAATTARGAAGATCTGGACCTTTTGCCAAATGGTAGTTGCCACATTGATAGAATTACCCCAGGTTTAGGGAAGAAATTCCTGGATGTGCTAAGGTGAGTTTGCTTGGATTCTCAGAAAGATATTTTAATGAATAATGTGAAGCAAATGAATTACAGATTCTGAGTAGATGAGATAAAGACCGACATTGGCATTTAGCTTAGAAAAACTATTTAAACACTTCTTTTTAATTGACCAGGCACTGTGCTGCACATTTGTAATTGCAACTACCAGAGAAGCTGAGGCAGGAGTATAACAAGTTTACAGCCAGTCTCAGCAACATAGTGAGAACCTGATTCAAWTTTTTTTTAAAAATGAAAAGGATGGGAATGTAGCTCAGTGTTTGAGTGCCCCTGGTTCAACACCCAGTCCCACACACATGCAAAAAGAATTATCAACTCTAGATTTTTTTTAATAAAAATTATGAATCAGTCTGGCATGATGGCACACACTCATTGATCAATCACTTAATGGTCAAGTTGAGGATTACTGAATTATTTATCTACATAATAATAATTTTGGTATCATGAGTTGGAGATGTAGCTCAGTAAGAGTACTTCCCTAGCATGCACAAAGCCCTGGGTTTGATCCTCAGCACTCCTCAAAAAATTTTAAAAAAATTAAATGGCATTACAATTATGATTAAACTGTTTTTAATGASATAAATAATAGTGATAATAATAACTACTTTGGTTTTTAAAAGAATGATACAATATATAAACCATCAGTAAATACATAAAAATAAACACAGTAAAAATGATCATAAAAATATGGCACATAACAGTAGTAATTATTTCCAAGCGGTTTAAGGGTTGATTATCTTGACCCTCCAGAGACACAGGGATGATTGAACTTCCTAAGATAAATCCAGAGATATGCCTGAAATAGATTCTGTCAAAACTTTATCAACCTAATTGCAGAATTAAGATCATATCTGACTGCATTCTCAATAGCTCAGAGAATTGTGGGTTTTGGATCTTTGCTAATATGACTAGAATAAAAGTTGTACCTCATTGTTACTTTAAACTTATTTAATTAAAAATTAGGGTAGATAACTTTTCCTGAGAATATTGGTCATTTGATTTCTTTTTCTAAAATGCAGTAGAAAAACTTTGCCTTTCATCACTTATAATTTTTTTCAGATGATTTTATATATTTTATGATAAGGGCAATGACTGTATATCATAATTTTTACACAGATGCTATTAAAAAATGATGTATCTTTAACATTATTTTTCCAAAGAATGCATGGAGAAAGAAAAAATGTTAAGAATTTGTTCTCTTATATTTGAAAAAAGTTATGAAATTGCAATTAAAGAATCAGGTAGTACCAGTGGTGATATAAAAACAGATTATCAGGGCTGAGGTTGTGACTCAGTGGTGGAGGGCTCACCTGGCACATGTGAGGTACTGGGTTTGATCCTCAGCACCACATAAAAATGAATAAAGGCATTTGTGTCCATATACAACTAAAAAATATAAAAAACAGATTATCACATATTGCATGCACAAATTAAAATATACCATACTTCATAAAAATGTAAAATTACTGTGTTTCAATGAAAAAAAATAAGATTTAAAATTAGGAAGATTATTGGGAAAAAACAGACATCTCAAAAATGTCTCTAAAAATGTCTTTGTGCTGTGCTCATATGAACTGAATGAAACCTTTAGTGTGTATAAAACTTGGGTGCTGTATGTTCCATTAGTTCAATCATGTATTTTTTCTTCCTTTTATTAGAAATAGTGACACTAAATTATATTATCTATTTTACTAATCCTCCTTATGGTTGAGTCAAAACATTTAAAATTACTCTATGAAATTCTTAGTATGTAAAGCTATTTCATGCTTAAAATGGTGGGCTGATGGTCCAATTTTCATGCTTCCATTTTGCCAAATAAGTACATTAGATTCTTGAATAACAAATATTGTATTTTTAGGATTTTCCATTCTTCCTACAGTCAGTATCATTCTTAGAAATCAAGAAGGAAAATGGCTAATTTCACTACAATGAGTGGATTTATTCTCATGGGTTTTTCTGGCAAGCCTGAAATAGAAATACTATTTGCTACTCTTTTTTTAGTCTTATACATAGTGGCTCTAGTTGGCAATATTCTCATTATTACCACCACTTCCATGGACCACAGTCTCTCCTCACCTATGTATTTCTTCTTGAAACATCTCTCCTTTCTGGATCTGTGCTACATTTCTGTKACAGTCCCAAGGTCCATTTGYAACTCTTTCATGCATAATGGCTATATTTCCCTCTGGGAATGCATACTGCAGTGTTTTGCATTCACTCTCTGTGGCTGTGCTGAGATGGCATTACTCACAGTGATGTCTTATGACCGCTATGTGGCCATTTGCCTTCCACTGCGCTATGAAGTCATCATGGATATCAGTACCTGTGCTCATGGACTGTTAGCCATCTGGGTCAGTGGAATCCTTGCTGGAGTCATGCACACAGCCGCTACGTTTTCCATCCACTTCTGTGGTGCCAACATCATTCATCAATTCTTCTGTGATGTCCCCCAGCTTCTGAAACTCTCTTGTTCTAATGAATATGTGGGTGAGCTTGGGGTTAGTGGCTTCTTGTCCTTGGTGGCATTTGTTTGCTTCATCTCTATTGGAGTCACCTACATGCATATATTCTCTACTGTGCTGAGGATACCATCTGCTGAGGGTAGAGCCAGAGCCTTTTCTACCTGCCTGCCCCACCTATCTGTTGTCATATTATTCATCTCTACTAGTGTTTTTGATTTTCTAAAGCCACATTCAGAGTCTCCAACTGTGTCAGACTTTTTACTCACTGTTTTTTATACTGTTCTGCCCCCAACACTCAATCCAATAATCTATAGCCTGAGAAATAAGGCTATGAAGACAGCTCTAAAAAAGATTTTTGAAAGAAGAAAAGACTTCTTATTTTTTCTGAATAACATCCATTAATTCATTTTGAAGGACAAATAAAAATTTATTAAGGAAAAAGTAACATAACCAATCAAGAATTTATTATAGGGATATTCATATTCATTTAAATTCATACAAATTAACTCTATAAATAAAAACAGTGAGCACAGAGTTATTTGTATAAATTACTCTTACAAATACAGCTGATTAAACCTCACCAAACAAATCCAGGTGTGAGAAAAATTTCTTCCATTTTAAAGGAATTAATTGTTCTTCGTCACTCATTTCTATCAGGGTAATGGAAACATAGTTAATTTGAAATGTCTTCCTCATTTTTTCCTGAATTACACTAGAGTGGGAGCCACCTGATTCTCAATGCCCTCTGGTCATGTAAGGGTTCACTACAGTTCTATCAACGTCTCAGGATTTCAGTCAGCAATACACAGTGCTCACCCTGGAACAGTCACATCATTTGCTCTGCCCCTTTGGATTCAATGGACTACTTTGCCACTAATGTGGATAATTTGATATTATGTGAAAATTTGACCAAGCTCAGAAAATTAATCAAAGAAGGAATCTGAAAAAAATTAATAGAACAACATGTAATGAAAAAGAGACATAAATGAAAATGTATACAAATATAATTTTAGTAATTGAAATTTGGAACTCAAAGGATGGTCAAACAGAAAAAAATATATATAAGACAAACTTAGTGAATTGAAAGATCCAAAGATTTCACACAGAATAAGATAAAAGAAATGTATGTCTTTAAAAAAATTCTGGAAAAGATTAACAATTATAAGATTAACAAGAACAATCAAAAAGTTATTCAATCAAAATCTCCAAAAAGATCTATTGCTCTATTTGCCCATGCTTTGAGGGACTGTGTTACAGGTGGAATTTAGAGAAAAAACTTTTAAGAGGTTTTTTTCAGATTTTTTAAAAAAGACACAGGTCATCAGCTTTGAAAAGCACAACAAAAATCCATCAGTACAACTAGGATCAATAAACATGTAATTATATCATACTAAAACTATAGAATTATTAAAAACAGAAATTTTTTGAAAATCAAAATAGAACAAGATATTCTTAAAGTAATACAACTTTATAGTCTAGAAGTTTTGTTATTTTCCACACAATTTAGATCTATAATCCATTACAAAATAACAACTGTGGGTACTGGGTGGCAGCTCACTGGTAGAGCGCTTGCCTAGCATGTGTGAGGCACTGGGTTTGATACCCAGCACCACATAAAAAATAAAAACAAAATAAAGGTATTGTGTCCATCTACAACTAAAAAAATATTAATAAAGAAAATAACAACTCTATCTTGTGTGAGATAGAAGTCACTGTTTTACTCAGTGATACCAAATTAAATTAATGTCAATATAGAAATATCTTTTCCTCCAATGAACTGYAGTGGTACCTTTTCATGAATTAGGTGACCCTGTAATGTGAGTCTCTATGTTTTGTGTTCATATTTACAATATTGAGCTCTATCATTTACTGTAGCTATACATCAGGGGTTTTTAAATATCTAGTAGTATAAGTTTTCTAACTCTGTTTTTCCAGATTTTCTGGGCTATTGTAGGTCTTCTAAATACGCTTCTGAGTTTCAAAATTAATTTTATAATTTCCAAAAAATAGCTACTAAAATTTTGACCGGCGTTCCATTGAATCTATGATCTAAATAGTGAAGATTTGTCTTCTTGAAAATATTTTATCTCCTCATTCATGAACAAGATTGTTTTCTATGTTTATTTGCATCTTTAAAAGTTGTCTCAGAAATTATATACAGTTTTGATGTAATTGTTTTAAGACTTTTATTAGATTTATTTATATGTAGTTGATATTATAATGTTGAAATTTGTCTATTTTTGCAGCCAATATTTAAATAGAGCATTGATTTTTATGTATTACCTTATATTTGTTGATCTTATGAAATTTATTTATAAATTTTATCATATTTTTAAAATTTCTATTATATATTACATAATCTGTGAATAAAGAATTTCATTTTATGTTTTCCAATTTCTAAAACTTGATTTATCTTCATTATTTTTACACTGGCCAGAACTGTAAGCCAATATGAAAAGAAGTGGTGATCATGGTATTTTCATATCTTCCCAAGCTCAAGGGAAATATTGCTACCAAAATGGTCCTCAGTCTTAGAGTATCTGGAATGGGCTCATGAATGTTCCCAAAGGAAAAAGAGTTGGCTTCAAATATCTGATATGAGCAGAGGAAAAAATACAAAAGCTTGTCACTCTGCTACTTAATTATGACCATTCTCACCCTTCACATCTTCTTTCTCCCAGTTTTAACCACAAAGGAACCAGAGAGAACCTAGAAACAATGGGAAATAACATAGAAGTTGGAAGCTGGTAAATACAGAAAATGGGGCAATAGGTCCTGCACACTCTAAAGACTACCATCCCAGAATAGGTTTTAGTTAGGTAAAGAAAGATGATTAACTTTTCATGAAGTTAAGGGATTTTGATTATGATGTTGACTTAGTTATAATAACTGACAAAGTGATATTTTTCTTCTTACCAAAAATAATTGGAGAAGTTTTGTAAGGGTTAAATTAGGGTCCCAGTAGCATAGGAAATATTAGTTCTACAGAATATTTTCAAATGTCCCAGTCCAGGAACATGGGGGTAGGAATGACAGTAGAATGAATCAGACACTATTATCTTATGCACACATATGATTACATGACTTATATAACTCTACATCATGTACAACAAGAAGAACAAGAAGTTATACTCCATTTATGTATGATGTGTCAAAATGCATTCTACTGTCAATGTATACATATTAGAACAGATTTTTTAAAATGGCTGAATAAAATAAATAAATGTCCCAGTCTATTGTCAAAACAGCTAAGATTACTGGACACTAACAGCTATGCATTGAACCTTTATAAAAACAGACTAGTGTAAAACCTAAAGAGGAAAATCTCAAAGAATATCCCACTGAAACCAAAATTCTACCTAATTTTCCAAAGTCTCTGCAAAAACAACTGTCCTCTCCAAGAAGTAACCAGAATGAGAACTTGTGAATTACTAGACCCTGGCTGACTACCTAGAAAACTCATGGACTCTCCAAACAGTGAAGGCAGTCTCCAAGCCTCCCACGTATTCAACAAGAGGTGAATGCTTTTCTTGTTCAGGACACTTAAACACAACCTCTGACCAATCACTGGCTGAATACTAAACAGAACTGACCCCAAGTAAGATAAGATTTCAAGGTAAAAAGAAAAGCAGAATTTATCAGGAACATCAGAGATTTTACACAACCAGGTAGATACAGTTTACTGAATTAGTCTAGGAAAGTTATTAAAGAATCAAACAAAAAAAGTAGCAAGTCATAGGGGGTTAGGGAGAATCAGCACCCAGAATGCTACAACATAATATTTTAATATCCAGGTTCCAGCAACAACAAAAAATGAAAAAAAAAAAAACAGTGAATTATGACTCAGCTTGAGAAAGGAGAAAAAAAAGCAGGCAACAAAACCTGTCCATGAGTGTGCTCAGATGCTGAACTTAGAAGGTTGGGCCTAAACTTATTCATACTCATCCCATCCTTCATGCTTTTCTTCAAGGCTCAATAGAGGACATGAGCTTCATTTTGTCTAGGGCTATTAATCCTTCTTTAAATATTTTAGAGTCCAAGGAAAAACTCATACACATTCAGGTTGTAGGCAGATGATATTCATGACAGAGTGGATCAGGTCTGAGAAAACAATTGCAGTAATGTAATGATGGATGGCCACCAACATTTAGCTAAGACCTGCACTCAGTTCTAAAAGAGTAGCAGAAACTTAGATAAACTTCAAGCACATACAGAATCTGAAGAAAACAACAACTGTTCAGTTCACTTGATCAATTTTCTGTGCATCAAGTCCAAGGACTGAAAAATATTGATAATCTTCAATAGGATCTGGAACTTGTTAAAAGCCTATTCATCCTTAAAATAAGTTATTCATATAGAAAATTAAACAGCTCATAAATATGCCAGTTGCTCAATGTTTATACTGTGAACACATCTTGATTGAGAAATAAAAACACAGGGACACTCTAGAACAGCCCTCAATTCATTTTCATATAATACTTTTACTTGTCTTCATGTAACCATTATTGTAATTTTAGAACTGTAAACAAACACAGTAATACATCACTTTTTTTGTCTCTGCATTCATTCTCTCAACATTGTCTTTGTGAGATTTAATCATTATGGTGCTTGTACAGTAAATCACAAATCTTATAGCAGCATTGTTTTTCTTTGTGTGAATATGCCATACCATATTTATCCATAATAGTATTGAGAGGCATTTAAGTTTATCTAGGGTTACCATTTATGAGCAATGCTGCTATGAATATTTTTGCATATATCTTTTGGAAAATAAAAATGTAAGTATTGCTTTTGAAGAATGCTTAGCCATAAAACAAGTACACATATATTCAGCTTCAGTAAATACCATTAACTCTGAAAATTGGTGTAAACACCTACACACCACAGGAGGTATGAGAATCCCAAGTGCTCCACATCTGTACCCACAATCAATGTTCTGTGTTCTTTTAATTTAGCCATCTGCTAGCATGTAGTGGATATATCATTACAATTTAAACTTTGTACTCCCCCGATAACTAGGAAATTTGACCACATTGTTTTGTTTATAGATCATTGGGAGATCTTATGTTTTATACTTGTTCAAGTAACCAGGTTTTTTACAAATTGATTTCTAGAAAATCTTTATGTCAGATGTTTGGAAAATAAAAAGAAACATTTAAATACTTATTCTAGGGAAGTATAAAGTTGATAAAAAGCAAGGGAAATTTTATGAAAACAATTCTAAAATCAATCCTACTCATGGCCCAAATTGAATTTATTCCAGAACCAAAAAATGTATAAGTATATTTCATCAAAATAGAATCAAGGGAAACAAATAATCATATAATTAAATACAAAATCAAGTATTTGATAAAATTCAAGGTTCACAAAAATAATTAATTTTTTTTGTAAACTATGAATAGAATGAAACATGGGCAATATGGGCAGTAGACAAAGGCATGTCCTTTTAGACAAATTTGGCATCTCAGATCAATAGAAATGGTATTTTTATTAGATGCTACTGTAATAATTAATCACTCATGTGAAAAAGAAGACAGGTGACCACTATCACACCATCCATAGACATCCTTGACAGATGATTATATATGCGATGATGAAAGAAAAAAGCTATATGTTCATAACATCATCACAGTAATGATTTATTAATTAATCAATAAGTTCTTGTAATCTCAAACCAAAAGGAGTAKTTTGATTAATTTACCTATGCTGCAATTACTGAAAAGTTTTGTAATCTCCCTTGGGCTGAATTCCTATTCCTAGAAAATAGCCTGCTGTTTCCTGGCATAGCATACTTCTACCTTGGAAAGTCTTCCTACTGTATGCACATCTGTCCCCATGCTGGTTTGCTCTCCTTTCCTTTCCTCTAATATCTTTCTTTAATTCATTCAGATTCTCATTCTCTCTCTCTCTCTCTCTCTCTCTCTCTCTCTCTCTCTCTCTCTGCCTCTACCTCTACCTCTACCTCTCCCTCTCCCTCTCCCTCTTTCTCTCTGATTTGCATATGCTCCTGGGTTTCTGTCAAACACCCCACACTCATTGCCTGCCAGGCTAAAATCCCTTTCTGCTCCAAGTGAGTTCCAAAGTGTCTGAAAATATGTTCCTGCTCTGAAGTATGCAGTGGTTCACAATGCTCACTTATTATTTTTATTCTATTTAGAATTTATAATAATAGTGGCTACATTACTTTTACTACTGATAATGATTCCTTGGGCTTTCTTTCTTTTTTTTTTTCCTTGAATCATCTTGCCTGCAATTTACCAATTTTATTAAATTCTTTCAAAATTGAACATTTTCCCTTATTGATTTCTCAGTTATAAACTCTTTTCTATTTACTTTCTATCTTGTATTTGTGGCCTGAAAACAGGTGACAATGAGAATACTTTACTGGAAAAGTCACCTCTCCTACCATCTGAAAATGACCAGAAAAATCAATGTCATTCTAAAGCTGCTCTCCAGGAGCATGGAAAGAGCCATGCCCTTGGTATGGGCAGTAGACATAAAAGAATAATGTTTCTTCTGATTTAATAGTGCTCCTTGAGGGAAATCACCAGTAATAGACCAATAGTGTTGAGCTTTGCTACATGCCAGACACTTGTCAGGCCTATTATGTGTGTTGTCCTCACTTACTCCTCACACTAGGGTCATGAAATTGGCACTGTTACTCCACTCTATAGATACGGAAATTAAGGAACTCACTTCAGGAGTTAGAACTAGGTTGGTATGACTCTGGTRCCCAAAACCTTATACAAAACAAGATATTCTTCTAGAACTCGTAGTAATGTCCAGCCTCCTTCACATAACATGCAAATCCCTAAGCAATTTGGTTCATTTCACTCTTCCAAGCATATCCCCTATGATTTCTGATTATATTCTTTCCCCCTAACTATAACAAAGTATTTAAATTTGAGTTTAAATAGAATGATTCTCTTTTCTCATACATTTATGAATTAATACTACATGGCAYGGCAAGTCAGAGGAGAAAGRAGTTATTATTGAATGAGGACATCTTTGTGGAATAGGTGAGATTTAATTTTGGCTTTGAGAAGTTGTCATGGTATAAAGTGCTAAGGTTAGTAAAAATGTTCAGAAATTGCTGCTTAAATAATAGGATAAATGAGAGCATAATGAGGAGATAAAAGACAAATTCAATCAAGATGATGGAAAACCTGAGATATTGTGCTACTTTAGAATTCATTGTGTAATGATTTAAGAGGCATTTAATATTAGAATATCATAGCCATAAATAGAGTTTAATTT